TTCTGTTCCTTATCTTTCTATCATCTGTTAACAAATCAAACATTTGTACATCAGAGGAGGCTGAACTCCAGTGTGTTCCTGGTCGGTTTGATTCTGTGGAAGAGTATGTCAGAGTGTTTGAGCCCTTGCTTATGAGAAATGCCGTGCACAGCTTTACAGCACTTGGGAGGAGCTAACTGAAACAGTTTCTAGAGACACACACATAATGGTCCGTATAAAGGGTGTTGAAAGACGAGAAAGAGGTGTGCTCTGCTCTTCATATTACTTAAAATGTATTTAGTTTTTACTTTGCATGTCATGCATGCACTCCCTCTGTTCCCATGTTTTTTGGTCTTCTATTATTTTCTGGATGTCCCAAAATGATTATCCATGTTGAAAATTAATGCTATGGATTTTGTGAACTTTAAATTACTGTTTTTTAATTAATGTAAGTGCATTTATTATGGTGAAGATATGGTTAGCTTTGAAATTTATATTGTACTAGTTGGGTGTGAATGCGTTAAATGACGTCTCCTTAAAAGTTGGGTTTTCTTTAAATGGAGTATTTGTGCTTTGAAATAATCTGTAAATGTTGCTGACTTTGTCATGTTGGATGACCATTCAAATTTAGTAGGTTAGTCCTGCAGCATTTTATATTTTTGTCCAAAATTTGATACTGAACTTTAAACCTGTTGTTTTTAATTCACTAAACATTCATATATAATTGTACTTTGACATTATCAACTTATTTTCATGTTAAAATGGTTTTGTTCTTGTACTCTGTTAGTGTGCTATGTTCCCTTAGTTAATGGGTTCTGAAGATGTTTCTTGGTATGACAACTCACGGATCAGAATCTTATTTTTTTGTTTTCTTTGCTTCAATTAATTGAGCATTCTTTTTATTTTATTTTATTTTTTAAATCATTTTCCCCTTAATGTTGCCTTAGGTTGGTATGATGTGATAGTTCTACCTGCAAATGACTGCAAGTGGAATTTTAAAGAGGGTGATGTTGCAGTGCTTTCAACCCCCAGGCCCGGAGCAGGTTTGTTCTGACATTAATTGGTTTATTCTTCTTGCCAAGTCTTCTCTATTAATACCAGTTTTCTGCAAAAATATATAACTTATCTTACGTTACACTAATCAGTGAGATCCAAGAGGAGCAACAATTCTGCTATTGACGATGATGAGGACCCTGATGTTAGCGGACGTGTGGCTGGAACAGTTAGGCGATACATACCAATTGATACTCGCGATCCTCCTGGGGCAATTCTTCATTTTTATGTTGGGGACTATTATGATCCTAACAGGTTACTTTTTTTTTTTTTAATGCCTAGTAAATAAATGATTTCTTGTCCGTTATATGGATGATGACTCATTTCTTTTTTGTTGTGTTTTTTCTTTGAATAATTATTTACAGCAAGGTTGATAATGATCATATTCTAAGGAAATTTCAGCTCAGAGGCATGTGGTTTCTAACTGTGCTTGGTTCACTTGCAACTACCCAAAGGGAATATGTTGCTTTGCATGCATTCCGTCGCCTCAATTTGCAGGTTATTGCATAACAAATTTATTGCATTACATGATTGATTAACAAATTTATTGAAATGGAATCAAGCTTTTAAAGTATGCTTCCTATTAAGCTCATATTGCATGATTTATTAACAAATTTATTGATATTTCTTTTTCATAGATGCAAACTGCTATCCTTCAGCCTAGTCCTGAGCACTTTCCAAAATATGAAGAGCAGCCTCCGGCAATGCCTGAATGCTTTACGCCGGGCTTCGTTGATCATTTACGTAGGACCTTCAATGGACCCCAGCTAGCAGCAATTCAGTGGGCTGCAATGCATACAGCTGCGGGTACAAGTAGTGGGACGACAAAGAGGCAAGATCCTTGGCCTTTTACTCTAGTTCAAGGGCCTCCAGGCACAGGTAAGACGCACACAGTCTGGGGAATGCTAAATGTCATCCATCTTGTTCAGTATCAACACTATTACACTGCACTGCTTAAGAAACTAGCTCCTGAAAGCTATAAGCAAGCTAGCGAGGGCAGTTCTGACAATGTCGCCACTGGATCTATTGATGAAGTTCTCCAGAGCATGGATCAAAATCTCTTTCGCACTCTTCCAAAGCTATGCCCAAAACCTAGAATGCTTGTTTGTGCTCCTTCAAATGCTGCTACTGATGAACTGCTTGCACGTGTTCTTGATCGTGGGTTTATCGATGGTGAAATGAAAGTTTATCGGCCTGATGTGGCCCGAGTTGGGGTTGATTCCCAAACACGTGCTGCACAGGCAGTTTCTGTTGAGCGTAGAACAGAACAGCTTTTAGTGAAGAGTCGTGATGAAATTTACGGTTGGATGCACCAGTTAAGAGCCCGTGAAGCTCAGTTGTCTCAGCAGATGGCTTGTCTACAAAGAGAACTCAATGTTGCTGCTGCTGCTGGTCGAGCCCAAGGATCGGTTGGTGTTGACCCGGACATTCTTGTGGCTCGGGACCAGAACCGAGATACCTTGCTGCAAAACCTCGCAGCGGTTGTTGAGAACAGGGATAAAGTTTTGGTGGAAATGTCCCGCCTTCTCATTTTAGAAGGCAAGTTTCGTGCTGGTGGAAACTTCAATTTGGAGGAAGCTCGTGCTAGTCTTGAGGCAAGTTTTGCCAATGAGGCTGAGATTGTTTTCACTACTGTGTCAAGTAGTGGTCGAAAGTTGTTCTCTCGGCTAACTCATGGTTTTGACATGGTTGTGATTGATGAGGCAGCCCAAGCCAGTGAAGTAGGTATTCTTCCTCCCCTATCTCTTGGTGCGGCACGATGTGTTCTTGTTGGGGATCCCCAACAACTTCCCGCAACAGTAATCAGCAAAGCAGCCGGAACTTTGTTATACAGTAGAAGCCTTTTTGAGAGGTTCCAGCAAGCTGGCTGCCCTACTATGTTGTTATCTGTGCAGTATCGAATGCATCCTCAAATCAGGGATTTCCCATCCCGATACTTCTACCAGGGACGCCTAACTGATAGTGAAAGTGTTGCTAATCTGCCTGACGAAATATACTACAAGGACTCTTTACTGCGGCCTTACACGTTTTTTGACATTACCCATGGTCGGGAGTCCCAAAGAGGTGGATCTGTCTCTTATCAGAACGTACACGAGGCACAATTTTGTCTACGTTTGTATGAGCATCTTCAGAAAACTTTGAAGTCTTTAGGTGCGGGAAAAGTTACTGTAGGCATAATCACTCCATACAAGCTGCAACTAAAATGCCTTCAACGGGAGTTTGAGGACGTTTTAAACTCAGAAGCGAGGAAGGATATTTATATCAATACTGTGGATGCTTTTCAAGGTCAAGAACGTGATGTTATTATAATGTCTTGTGTTCGTGCTTCAACTCATGGAGTGGGCTTTGTGGCGGATATCCGCCGAATGAATGTTGCTCTCACTCGTGCAAGAAGAGCTCTTTGGGTATGTGTTTCTGTTGGTTTAGTCATCTCACATAACAAACATATATGATTTAGTCACTCAGAAACTAATGCTTATGGTGGATTTATGTATTGAAACAATTGAACTTGATGTTTTGACAGGTTATGGGGAACGCCAATGCTTTGGTGAAGTCTGATGATTGGGCTGCATTGATCACTGATGCCAAAGCAAGGAACTGCTATCTGAACATGGATTCTCTTCCCAAGGATTTCTTAATGCCAAAGGCCCCTGCTTATGTGCAATCAGGTAAAGTCTCCTCTAACTTGAGGAGTTTGAGATCTGGTGTGAGACACAGGTCGTTCGATCCCCATATGGAGTCTCGGTCAGGAACACCATCAGAAGATGATGAGAAATCAAATGCACCGTTGATATTGAAGAATGGGAATTACCGATCCTCCAAGCCACCAATGGAGAACGGTTTGGATGATCTTGATCAGTCAGGTGATAAATCCCGAGATGCCTGGCAATATGGAATTCAAAAGAGGCCAATTCCAGCAGCAGCAGGGGTCACAGGGAAGAGAGACTTGTAGCAACTGGTTGACGTCTAAAATTTGTCTTTGTGCCATGCATGAGCTTCAGAGCATTATTAAAGTTTGAATTTTGAGCTTCCGAACAATCAGGTTGACAATCATTTCTAGGTTCAAAAGCAGCTGGAGCTTTAGCTTCTTATCCCGATTACTTCAGCAGAACACAATGAATTCGGAACAAGTTCGTACTCAGATCATGGACAATACTTGCAGTGGATTCAAAAAGATCTGGAAAAAGGGTGGGATTTGAAGAGAGGGCAGTCAACTTGAGAACGATGTTGGTTGCTTTTGCAGATCACTGACTTTGGTTTAACAGATTGCTATAATTTCTCACAAGGTGCAGTGGCCTGCTGTCTGGTAGGTTGTTTGGCATCAAACCCTTCGTCTACAGCTTACGGGAGTCGAAGGTAATACATTTCTTTTTTATTAGTGGTGATTTAAAATTATCATCTGAAGACCTTCAAGAGTTCACTGCAAGTTCCAAATGCCAAATAACTCAGGAACCAATGCATGGGCATCAAGACGCATTTTGGGCTGAATCGGTGAGCTACATTTTCTCCATGATGCGATTTTTCTGGCTGAACTTTGACGTGTTTCACATTGATGAATTTGAGTGAAGAAAAAAGGTTCCCAGTTACACATATGACTTTTTCTTTTTCTTTTTTGTATTTTCTCTCATCATACAGCTACTGGCCTCTGGATCTTGAACCCTGATCGGAGCTGCTGAGCATAGCAAGCATATATACATTTACAATGTACACATTTTTGGGATGTTGTCTAGGGGGATGTTTAGAATCTTGGTAGGATTAACCTTCATTCTTCTTCGATTTAATTTATTTATTTGAAGGGGGTTTTGAGATGCTAAACATGCCTCTTCTGGTGGGTATAGTCAACATTCTGTATAGGAAGATAGTACAGTATTTGTATTAAGCCAAAATCGTTTTAGCAGGGGCCGGTAGACTTGATTTTGTACATAATTTTCAGCTGTGGATTAATAGGGAATTATTTTTATGATGCATTGCCCTTTTTTCTTTTTCTTTTTTTGTTACTGAATTTATTATTGTCTGGAAAATTACATTTTGCTTGATTTCGTGTTGCACTTCTCAAGTGTCTTTGTTGAGTCTAATGTCTCGTCTATCAATTTTCCTGTGAAAGTGATAGGGACAATGTATTTCACACTAAAAGGTCATGATTCGAGTCTTTTCTCGTGATTTGTGTGGTGTGTGTGAAAGGTGGTGTTTTGGCAATTGTTGCTTTCCTGTGTAGTTTATGCAATTTTGGCATTTATGACAGGATCATGGCTTTTATTCTTCCTCTCAAAATTCATGAGGAGCAATTAATGAGTTTGTTGTAAACGTAACTGAAGATATAAGAATAAGAATAAAACTATATGCGCCCAGACATAATTGTGCCCTTTTATTTTATATATAAATTTGAAAGGAAGATTTTAATATACATCTTTTTAAAAAGAGTATACCATATGTATTTTAGTTATGTTAATTTTTTTCTTTTAGTTATAACCATTTTTTTTTTTACTTGTGGTATTATTTTAGTGATGACTAATAAATTTTTTAGTTATGGGGGTGTTTGGGAAGAAAAAAAATAGCCAAATTTAGGCTAAAAATCACAAAAAGACAAAATAGGCTAAAATAGCTAATAAGACAAAATATCACATCAAACCCATAATCATTTCACTTTTTCTCTCACAAACATCACATCCAACCACAAAAAAATTCAATCATCTTCCCAAACACAAAAATTTTAGCCTACTTAAAATAGCCAAAAACTAAAATAGTCTACTAAAATAGCCACTTCCCAAACGAGGCCTATATCTCATATTGTGTTTTTTTTTTTTTTTTTTAGTTTTGACTCAGAAAATTAAAGTTATATTATTTTTCCTTTTAGTTATAAGATGCATATTGTGCACATTCTTTTGAAGGATGTGCACTATAGTGTTTCCTAATTTAAAAAGGTTATAATAAGGGGACATTTATTTATAAATTTCTATTCACCTATTTATGTTTTACTTAGGTGACATAGTTATCAAAATACTCAAAGGAGTAATAATAAGGTGAATTGCACATTAACGTTCACATCACTAAGTTAAGACTTTTAGAATACAAAAATATCTTATGAATTAATTAGAATACAAGTATTTGAAAAAAAAAAAATCTAATAAATTCTTCCATAATAAGTGCTCTTTTAATTAATAACTATTTTTATTAATTACAGTGATTTCTTTTCAATTACCATTGGATTTAGAATAGTATTATATGTATCCATTGATATATTAATTAGCGTACTAACAGATGATGTGACACAATTTTAGAGATTTTAAATATTTATACTTTATATAATAGGTGAGATCAATAATAATATTATAATATATATTGACACACTTTAATTTGCTCCTTTTAATTTCAAAACTATACATTTCAACCCTTTTAACAATGAAGGAGCATCATTTTTGTTGGGGTAGTCTTGAATCCAACTATGCGGCAAGGGTATTTTTAATATTTTAATAATTTTGTCTTGTTGCTTTAATGCTATGCATTTATAGTTAGGAAAATAATACAAAGCTCTAAATCTAAAATTTTAATTTGAACTTTAGTGATGTTGCAAAGCAAAGCAAAGTAAAAAAAAAGAAAAAATAGACAGACAGATAGACAAATAAGACACAAACATCACATCATGGGTGGGACCCAATTCATTAGAACTCTTCTAGAGCTCTAATTTAGAGCTCTCAATCTTTCTCTTTATAGTTAAGATATTGCATCTCTCTTAACTAAAGTTGTAACTCCTTTAGATTATAATGAAATCGTAGTTATTGTAGATATAGTCTAAATTTTTGTGTTTTTATGTGTTTGATTTGAATTCCTTTCATCTATATTTGTGTTTCATGTTTATCCTAATTAGGTACTCTATGGTTTAAAAAATTAATAAATTTTAAAATATATTCAAGTATGGTTTGCTTACAATTGTTAGAGAATGTCAATATATTTAATCTACAACGCAATCGCTTGATAATTGACTTGAATTTAATCTGTAAGGATTTTTCAATCCTTACTGGCACGCTCGAATTTATGATATTTTCCTTCGTAGGAAAAATAAGCCAACAATTTTTGGCACGCCCAGTGGGACGTCAAGTGTAAGAAGTGAAAAATGAATTGGATTTGTCTATTTCAAATAGCCTAGACGAAATTTATTGGCGTAAACAAGAGATTTTGGATCTTCAAGAAGAGATCCATTTTCTTGATGAAATAATTTTTCATCCCTTACAATATTATTTGGTGGAAGAAAAAATGCACAATTTAATTGGAGAAATTCATCAACTTGATATGGAAATTTGCCAATGGAATGATGAGTTATCAACTCTCACTACCAAGTCTTTAACTGAGGCCTTAATGGCCGGAATTGGTGAATTTTTTCAGAATTTTTCCATGATTAAAAATAGCAAAAGCAAAGAGTTGATTTCATCAATGACTCGGGGGGTTCAAGAGTCCGTTTAAAGAGCCAAATTATGAAATTGACATACCGAAAGTACATGTTCTTGAGCCAAATTTGGCTAAGAATAATATTCCATGCATGGCTCGGGGGGTCTCAAAACTAATTTTTTGAGAGTCAAGTCATGAAAATAACATATCTATGGTGATTTTCCTAAGCCATTAATGGCTAACATGAAAAAACAACCTACTTTGCCAAATAATTATGAAAATCTATTCGGCAAAAGTCATGTTTTTAAAAAAAACATGGTCAAAAATAATGAACAAATCACTGTTCATGAATTCAAATTTTTTGACATTTTTCAAAATGCCAAAAAGTATGAATTTTCATGGTCACACTATACGATGACTTTTGCTATTCGAAATCTATTTTGGATTTGTGGATCAATTAAACGTTGACTTTGATGGAATGACTAACAAATAATATTTCGTTATTGCAATATATTGAGCCAAAAATGTTGTTATTAGTTGATCCATAAAATATCACCATTTGGTTTTGTGGTTACCTTCGAAGCATGTCTCAAGACACTTCGAAGTAGATTATTCATTGAAATATCATTTTATAGCCATTAATGGCTAGTTAAAATGTCAAACTAATTTCATAATAATCCAACTCTTTGGATTTAGTTCGAAGAGATGTCGTGAGCACTTTCGAAGGACGACTTTAATCCTTTAGTAACATATGTGACTTTCGAAGGGTGATTTTGTCATCAATAAACACATTCGAAATGTAACATGGGATGAAAAAACTTTCGAAATGTGTACCTCTCTTCAAATATATGTAAAATGACAATTAATTAATTATCGAATAATGCCTATTTTTTGCATGATAATTAGTGGCTTTACTGATAACCATTTTTATAGCCATTTGTTACATGAAAATGTAACTAGTATTCTATAAAAGTTGGTCCGAAGAACAACGGTTTTGGTGTCTTCGGAGAATTAATAATTGGTTTAAAACATAAAATTAATATTTTCATTAATTATGTGTGAACCAAAACATACAAAATTTGAATAACCACAATGTTGGCCAAAAGTTGCTTCGAAAGCCCTTTTGTCATAATTTTGTAAGCTTCGAAGCACTCCATCTTGCATCAACAACAGCTTCGAAGAAAAAATTGTGAACCTTCGAAGCTTTGCCGAGTATTTCTAAGGATGTAATTCGTCATTTGTTGGCATTTTCGACCTTCGAATGATAATTTTAGTCCTCTATACCACCTTCGAAGCTAGTTATTTAGCATGTATAACAGTTTGCTAAGGTGAATCATTGGCTTTGTCTTGAAAATATGTGGTTATCCTTCGAAACTTTTCTACAATAATAGCCCTTCAATGCGTATATATATAATTTGCAACATCTAGTCATAATTTCATGCTCATTCTAAGCAGTTTATTAGTGCTATTATATCATTTGAAGCATTTTGTTGATATTATTCGAAGCACTTTATTGCTTAGATTAGTCATGTGCTTGGTTCGGTCCTTCAAAAATTCAAATATATATCATTTTTAAGGGTCGCAGGGGGTAATGTTAGCCCCATAAATCTGTAATTTTTATTATTATTTATTATTTATATAATTACAGGACATGTGGCATCCTCTTACTCATTTGGAGGTTATGAGAAGTTATGAAGGCATGGAGGGTTATGTGGCATTATGGGAATGAAGATGGAAGAGTGGGTAGTTTTAGGTGGTTATTGGGTAGTTATTGCTGGAAGTTTTTTCCTACAAATATTCGTCTATAAATAGCCATTCATGGCTACATTGTAAAAGATCCAAAATTCATAATCAAAGACAATTGATTTCAATATTTCTTGTCATTTTTCTTATCTTAGGAGTAGTTTAACATAGATTTATATTTCAAAGCATTTATTTTCAGCACTTCCTTTACGAAGCATAGGAGTAGAGGTAAGTAATGATTATTTTGATTGTTCACTCAATCGTCTTTCTCCGTCTCCCTCATTTTTTTTTACTTTTTCTTTTCTCTACACTTGGCAATTTTGAAGTCCTCTTTGTTGAGGCAAAAGAACCGTCAACACAATCGCTTGATAATTGGCTTGAATTGAATCTGTAAGGATTTTTCAATCCTTACTGGCACGCTTGCATTTATGATATTTTTCTTCGTAGGAAAAATAAGCCAACACCATCACTACCAAATCAGTACCCAAATCTTCATCACACAACCATGTCCGAAGCTCTGCCAAACCTTCAGTGTCGTGATCACCGACGAAATCAGTCTCGCCGTTCAGCACAATCAGGGCGTGGACAGTCTTGCTTTTCATCGTTAGTGCTGTGAGATTGGGTTTGTTGTTGTCTTGGTATATTATGTGTCACTGGTTGTATGTAGTAAAGGAATTGTCCAGTTCATGATTATGGTTATTTATTTCATTGTCATGTGTTGATGTTGATATTTCGGTGCTCATTTGTTTGTTGTTAGTTGTGGGTGCTTGACTTGCGCTATTTGATTTTGGGATTTTGAACTCAGCTGTTTTGCATTGGGTTATTTCACCAAAAACTTTAA